TGATATCAATAGAGGGCATATGGAACCTGCCTCCTTTGCCAGCAGGTCCTTCAACTTCAATTTGTCCACCAGCTTTTCCTTTGGGGAGTGAAATATCAATGTCTGGCATCTCAATCTTCCTGCCCTTTATGTCAGGTCCTTTCAATTTGACATCACTCTCTGGAAAATTTACTTTAGGTAATGAAATATCAAACTTTGGCATTTTAATCTTCCCCCCTTTCACCTCAGGACCTTCAACATTTACATCAACATCACCTCTTGCTTTTGGAAGTGAAATGTCAACATCTGGGCCCTCGAGGCTAACATCTGCCTCTGGAGACTTTAGTTTTGGGAGATTGATATTGATTGAAGGCATGTTAAACTTGCCTCCTTTTGCCCCAATGTCAACATCTCCCTCTATTTTTCCTTTTGGGAGTGAAATGTCAACAGTGGGCATTTCCATTTTCCCTTTAATCTCTGGTCCTTCCACTTTCACATCACCCTCTGGCAGGTTCACTTTTGGAAGGGAAACATCAAATTTGGGCATTTTGAATTTTCCTGCTTTTCCTTCAGGACCTTCAACATTTATGTCAGCTTTGATTTTACCTTTAGGAAGTCCAGCGTCAAAGGATGGTATTTCAATATTCCCATCTTTTCCAGAGTGAATGTCAATATCAATGTCTCCTCTTGCTTTCCCTTTGGGGAGAGAGAGGTCAATTTTTGGCATTTCAAACTTTCCACCTTTGACTTTCGGACCTTGAAAACTCAAATCTCCCTCTGGAAATTTTACTGCAGGAAGGTTGATGTCTACAGATGGAAGGTTGAATTTTCCTCCTTTTCCTTCACCTTTAACATTGATGTCACCTTCGAATGTTCCTTGAGGGGGTGAAATGTCGATAGTTGGCTTTTTAATTTCCCCACCTTTAATTTCTGGTCCCTCAACGTTGATGTCGCCTCGTTTCGATTTTATTTTCGGGAGAGAAACATCAATTGAGGGCATATGAAAATGTCCTCCTTTACTTTTAGTTTCTATGTCACCTTCTGCTTTTCCCTTTGGAAGAGAGATGTCAACTGAAGGTCCCTCAAGGCCAATATTTCCCTCTGGCATCTTCATCTTTGGTAGGGATGCATCAAATGAAGGCATTTTAAACTTGCCTCCTTTGCCTGAGGGTCCTTCAATATCGAGCTTACCTTCTGCTTTCCCTTTTGGAAGAGAGATGTCAACGGAAGGCATGTTAATTTTCCCTCCTTTAATCTCACCTCCCTTTAAGTCTAAACCTGCCTGGGGCGATTTAAACTCAGGACCTTCGATGTCAATCTCACCTCTCTGTGTTTTCATCTGTGGCAGTGACACATCTAAAGAGGGCATGTGGAACTTTCCTCCTCCTTTCACTTCAGGTCCTTCAATATCAACTTCTCCCCCTTTCATTTTTGGAAGAGAAATGTCAAAAGTTGGCATTTTGAACTCGCCACCACCTCCAATGCCCTTGAGCTCCACGTTGCCCTCAAGGTTTGGTTTAGAAAAGTCCACATTTGGGCCTTCTAGCTCCACGTCAGCTTTGGGTAGCTTCATTTTTGGGAGGGAAATGTCCACAGAGGGCATGCTGAATTTACCTCCTTTCACTTCAGTGCCATCAGGGTTAAAATGCCCCTCTACGCCTCCTTGTGGGAGAGAAACATCGATAGCAGGCATCTTTCCACCTTTGATTTCGGGCCCCTCCAAGACAAATTCTCCCTCAGGTGACTTAATTTTTGGAAGAGATATATCACATGACGGCATTTTAAACTTGCCTCTGTTTCCCTCAATTTCAACTTCACCTTTTGGTTTCCCTTTGGGTAGGGAAATATCTACTGATGGTACCTCAATCTCGGGTCCTTTAAGGTCAACATCAGCTCCAGATGTTCTTATCTTAGGGAGTTTAACATTCAGAGAAGGCATTTTGAACTTCCCTCCTTTTGCAGAAGGACCCTCTAGTTCAACATCACCCTCCAGCTTTCCTTTTGGTAGAGAAACATCAACAGAAGG